GCAAGCTGAATCCTTGGGTTCCTTTAAATCAGAGCTAGATAAGATTTTAACAACTCTGAGCTATTAGTTAAGTTCTCCCCAAGCGAGCTCGATGGTGTTCTTATGACAGCCCACGCTTACACCCTGAAGGACGGTGGCTCTGTGAGCTTATCACCTTGTATGGTTTTTGGCCATAGGAGTAGGTCTCCCACATCAGGACTCCGAAGCTCCACACATCACTCTTGCAAGAAAACTTAAAATAGTTCATGCACTCTGGAGCGTACCATTTGACCGGCCACTTCCCGTGGGTTTTTGCCTGCGGGGGAAAAGTGGGACAGCCCATTTTTTAACAGAACGCAGCAATGAAAAAGCCCTTCAGACATCCATTCATCTTCCATAGTAATCCATCCCACAACAGCACCAAGCACAGTGCACAAGGCCAGGGACACAATGGGCACTTTAGACACCAGACCACTAAATCATAACATTTACATTTATTTATCAGAGGCTTTAAGCCTACGTGACATACAATTGTGAAAGCAGGGTCAGACAGGGCCTGAAGCGAATGGGGTTAAGGGCCTTGCCCAAGGCCTCGATGGTGACATTGCTGTGCCGACACTGGGATTTGAACCAGATGCCTTCTGATCATGGGCACAAAGTCTGAACCTGCAGAGCCACATGTGAATTCAAGGAGAAGATTCAAACCCAATAAAAGGTCCTGGGGGCCGAAACCAAACCCCTAAGCTTGGGGGTGTGAGGTCTCAGGGTGATCCACTAAACCTCCACCTCAAATTCCATGTTCCTGATAAATTACAAATCAGCCGTGGTTTGCTACCACTCAAACAAAACATTTGTGTGGGCCCTCTGCTGGCAACAAACAGTCACTGCAACAAATATTTAATAAACACGTTCATTAAAGAGATGCTGAAGCAGCATGTGCTGTTAACCAGCTAGCTAGCTACAAGCTTCCGACTCTGCTTGCTAGCTATATATGTAGTTTTTGAAACATCAGAGATGGGCAGGAGGCCCCAGAAACAACAGTTACACTCCCCCTTTGGTTCTGCCAGGTAACCTTCAGGTTCCTAGCTCTCCTGTATATCCTGGCAAACCCGTCATACCTTGTAATAATTGTTCTCATCTGCCAGAGCTTTTGACAGCCCAAAGTCGCTGATCTTAGCGTAGTGCTGGGTGACTAACAGCACGTTCCTGGCTGCGAGGTCCCTGTGAACGAAGTTATGCTCCTCCAGGTACTTCATGCCCATGGAGACCTGGTGTACCAGCTCTGTGATGTTCTTCACGCTGAGATGCCTGTGGAGACAATGAACTGCTATTCAAACTAAGGTTACATATGTCATAGCTTTCTAAGAAGTGGCATAGCAAAAAGATAGAAAGTGATCCTAGCTGGTAACTTTTATTACCATTTTTTCCAATGTGACTTTCTGAGTGGGACCCAGAAACATCAATCTGACACAAGCAGAGAAAACAGAGGCGTAGCTAGAAATTCTGGGCCCCCTCCGTATGTTTTGCAAACCGGGATGTCCCGTCCAGTAAGTTTTGCCCCCTGAATCTGACATTGTATATGTTTCGTCTTCCGATGCCCCCGGACTTCCCGAAGACCCTTGGCCAGGCCTTTCTGTGTTCCCCATACACCGTGCCTCCTCCCTCAGTGTCAGTAGTCACAAAGCAGTGAACCTGTTTTTGGGCAAGAACTTGTTGAGGGGACCAAGGCTAGCCAACTCCATGACCAACATCAGGTTCTCTGCCTCGCAGATGCCGATCATGCGGACGATGTAGGGATTGTCTAGCTGCTGCATGACGCTGGCCTCCTGCAGCATCTCCTCCCGCACGGAGAGGTTGTTCTCATCGTTCTTCAGGATCTTCACCGCCACCGTCTTCTCTGACCTGGGAGGTGTAGCGGTCCACAATTAACTTTGACTACAGCTTATTTCCCAGCACATAAACATCATGCCATTAGGAATAAATTTATTCTAGATAACAGATCAGCATTTCTAAAGTTAAACCAGTAAAAAAAAAATTAAGTGTAGATTAAAATCTGTGTATATAAAAAATCTACATTCTGTGGCATTTGCTGATAGGAGGACTGCAGCACAATACACATTCAAACACTAAAGGTTACCTGTACTGCAGGTACCAAATGAACTGGGAACATACTTTTGCATTTTGTAGGTGCCCCTCATGACCGTGCCGAAGTTCCCTGAACCCAGCTCCCCATCCTCTAAGGTCAGCTGCGAGCGGCTGATGGTCGACGTCCTCAACTCATCAGGGTCCGCATAGGGACTCTCGTACACCTCGGTGTCCATCGGCATGGCGTCTGTGACTGGAACACAAGCACGTTACTGGAAAGGTGAGGAGAAAGGGTGGATTCTTTCGCTGTTCATCTGGGGTGGGGTTAATGGTTCAATACAAGTGGCGTCCAAGCAAATAAACTGGAATTATTAAATAGTTATAATATATCATGAAGTATGATGAAAAGTTACTGCTGAGAGGTAAAATCAAGTGACAATACAAGTGAGGGGAAGGGTAACAAGTCCAAGAACATGAATGGAAGAATGTAAATCACATTTTAACAATACGACAAAAAGACATGTTGGAATTTATATGCACCTGCTGTTTTCTGCACGTACGTGTTGAGGTTATCAGTGGTCATGGAGCCAGGAAGTTTAACCGTCTATTTAAGGGAGAAATACAGTCTGAGGTTGCACTAGATGAAAAGTCATGATCCATTCAGTCCAAGTAGCATTCCGATTCCCTGAAAGGGTTGACTGGATTTGACATGAAAGCACAACAGCACAAAACACACAACTGGCAAGACCCGAGGCTGCATTTCAAAGCCAGGAAATCAGGATATACAATCCTGGTCACCTTTCATGGTACCACTGGAATTCCAAGAGTATGAATATTGCAATACGTCAGGACCTGAATTTGTATTTTTACACAATTTTACATATGGTGGCAGATAGGTATATATTTTATTCATTTTGCTTACATTTTGTTTATTTTATGTATTGGCAACCATGAACAAGGTGAGATCCTGTCTGAACAGGATAAAAACATGTAGATTTTATTTTGGAAAAATAAAGGAATACATGGCATAGGGCATCAAACTGTAAGTAGAGTGAAGCACACAGGGTGAGTTACCTGTTGGCTCTGAGGAAAAAAATGTTAATCCAGGTAATGGAGCAAGTAGATCATGGAAATCCAGAAGTTGTAGAGGATCTTTGTTCACTTTTGTTTTCTGACATCAGTTTCCAAATGATATAATTTGTATATAAGCCATGCTAGATTTAGAATTTAGAGATCAGTGGTCATTGTAGACACACCACAGCACACGGTGCACAACAACGCAATGTGTCCTCTGCATATGTGACATTGTGACATAACAGGGGGCAGCTAATTCAGCGCCCGGGGAGCAGTGCTTGGGGGCGGTACCTTGCTCGGGGTACCTCAGTGGTGCCTTGCTGGTCGGGGATTTGAACCAGCAGTCGTTCAATTACAAGTGTACTTCCCTAACCATTAAGACACCACTGCTCACATTTCACTGGACATACTCCTAGACTCGCACTGGAATTAAACGAACAATGTACAGCTCGATACTGTTTAACATGAGCGCTTCTGGGCTAGTTAGTACCTTACCCATTGAAGAACAGGTCATAAACCTCTAACCGCTATGCTTTCCTAACGGCTATCCTAAATATTGGCATTGAGGACGCATGCCGAACAGCTGCTACACTCTGCATACTCTGACCACTTTATACCTCTGCCTCACTTCATGTATAATAATTGTTTGATTGACTAATTGTTGCTCTCACTGGTTACTCCACCACTTCATGCTTTTATGCTTCATACTTAAATAAAACATGCGCACACTACTTCTTGTTTCATCATTCTAGTTTTGTTAGTATTGATTTGAAGGTGCTCCTTACATGTAGAGATCAGCTTCATGAGGATCAAGGATTAGCTTTCAGAGCCAACTGGAGTCATTTCTCAATATTTTTCTACTTCTTTTGGCTTTTGAGGTTGGGACGATAGGGTGCTGAGGATGTGAGGCAAGGAATGAAGGTAAGAAGAGATCAGAGAATGGAGGAAGAGTCTCAGCTGTTCCGAAGGAAGGTTAGTAGCAAACCACACTTCAATAGCTGTTCATGGCGGGTTAGTTATGGCTGAGTCCTACCACTGCCACATTCGCACACGTGGTGTGTTAGTGCACCTTTTTGCTGCCAGGTTTTGGGAAGGAGTAGGATTTGATTCTGGAGAGAATCCCACCTGTGGCACCTTTCTGGAAACCACAATTTTAAAAAAGGAAAATGTTATTTTCCGAACTAAGCAACCTCTTTACATTAACGTATCTGGGGTTAAATGTTATAGGTACTTTTCTCTTTTAGGTTTAAGCAGTAGTTTTACAATTCAGGAGTCAAAATAGATTATTAAAATACAGTGAAATTGGAATTAATTACTTTACAGGTATATTCATTTTTGAACAGTGCAGCATTAAATAATGATTTCTGTTAACATGTGGATGTTCTGAATCAGAAAGCATTGCAGTGATCAGCTCCTTATCTTACTTGAGCTTATAATTTTGACTCGTCAAATTATTGGCAAATGAAGCTTCATGAGCCATTTGCTATATTGTCTGACACCACTAGATGGTGCTCTATATTCAAAAAAGTACTCAATTCATGCCCCAACGCAAACCAAGAGCGCCATCTAGTGGGATCAAAAAACAGTTTATGAAGCTTGATTATGAATAATAAATGATTTGATATAGTCTGTGCTTATCTTTGGATAAATATTGGCACTGAGGACATATTTCTGACCTCAACAGTGGTATATCCTGTATTGTATCAGGTAGCTTGAGATTGTGAACTAATGAAGTTTTGAGAAATTTTATAATATTAATTAGCTTCATTGATGATAGGGTGTCTTATCACACAATAACCAGGAAATCCCATGTTAATAACATGATCAAGCTGCTGGACTGAGTGCTACAACTGAGTGCTTTTCTGATATCAGAGGAAATGGCTTCTTTCCTAACTCCACTCCACTGCTTTAAAACTCAAGGGATCTACAGTAAAGCCAATAGACCTTCATATTTAATTAATTAAGGATCCTGAAAAAGAGGTAGTGGAACATGGAACAGTGGAACTCCAGTAAAATGCATAATTCTTTACTAGTGTTAATTTGCAATACAATTGTGTCGAATATATGTTAAATACACAAGTACGACTATATGAAAACATTCGCATGTTTGTCTCCTTTAGTCTAACCTTAAATCTATACACTTTTATAATCCACAGCTGTTACCAGAAAAGTCTATAGCAGAAAAATCTGCTCTATCCCCCTGTCTGGAAAAAAAAACGATTTCATTGTTGTTTTTTATCCTCTTAATACTCTTCATAAACAGCCTTTGAAAAAACAATCTTGACACCGAGAAGCATTTAATAATAATGTGCAAATAAAACACACTCCATCGCTAGCATCATCAAGCTTGCATATCTAAGAGACGGGTGTGAACCAGAGTGTGTCCCAACTCCCAACAAACCTGTATCAGGAATTCTGAGTTCTTTATGGTTTGGTTCAGGTGTGTTGGGAGCTGAGAGGGAGCAAAAATGTGGACTGTCTGGGGGTCCCCAGGGACTGGGCTGGGAAACACTGCTGTAGAATAAAACTGACGCAGTGACCAAAATGGTATCATCCACTTGCTCACACTTTCTTGTCTTTTAAATTACAAAAAGGTCTACAGCAAGTCTTTCATTAATGATTACTGCTCTCAACCAACAATCTACAATGCATGTAGCTGTTATTTTAGGTCAGTCAAAGACCTTCCTCTCTTAAGCACACAAACAGAAAGAAATCAATGTTAAAAAGTAAAACAAAAAGGCACTTACCAATGGGTGTTTCTGGGGAATAGGAGGGCAGCCTATAATTATACCACCTATTAGTTAAGATGTCACTGGCTCATTGAAAACAATGGACTAAATCTTTACTGCACTGCCTACATATGCGTTTTCCAAAGAACTATGTAAACATGAAATCATGGAAACATGACCAGGACCTACTTAACCAATATATGCCTATATATATATGCCTCTCTCTCACTCTCTCTCTCTCTATATATATATATATACATACATACACATACAGTGGTACCTCGGTTCTCGAACTCACTAGAACTCGAATTTCTTGAAAGTCGAACAAACCAGTTTGACCTAGAACTCAATCTGAATATCAGAAGTCGAACCGTGAACGCTGCCCTAATATAAATTGTACACGGCAGGAAATTTACCAGGTAAATTAACTGAAAACCAGTTCTCACTGCTTTGCGTAATATTCGGGACAAATAGCAGATTACGCATCGGAACTGCCTGGGATACAAACGTCATGCGTGTAACTAAACTCTTCAGCCAATAAGGGCAAAGGAGTGTCATCACGGAGGCAGTTCCAGTTTGTGTAGCTGGGTGAGAGGTCGCAATGCATCTAACCGTAATGCATTGCGTCCGGATCAGAATGCGTTGTTTAAGCCAGCACTGTAAGCAAGTCCAACGCAACCAATGACCGGACTGGGGAAACAAACTGAAACGCGGACTAAATGAGAAGGGTCCAGCTGCAGACGCCTGTAGAGTGGAGCTCCACCGGAAATATGTCACCTCCACAGGAAACATATTTAGGTGTAATTTTGGGGGGCCGGGAACCAATTAATTGGTTTTCCATTATTTCTTATGGGAAAAATACGATCAGACAATTCTCCATATTGTTAAAATATATATATTCACCATATTATTAAAATTATACTCACATCTCTTCAATTCTGGTATACACTTAGTACATCTTAATAGTTTACCTGATAAATATTCCTGCCTCACTTGTATGTCATTTTGTACAGAAGCATCTGATAAATAAAGGAGGTAAAAGGGATGAGGAAGGTAGAAACATCACCTGCTTCGCCGTTGGCCCGTGCACAGGGCTCACTGAGGACCCGAAGCAGCCCATCTGGTTTGTAGGAGTAATGCTCCACCAGCTGTGGACATTGCGAGAGCAGAAGGACACTCCTCAGCTTTTGTGTTTCCAGTGTGAACGTCCCGAGGTCGACCTTTACAAGGCGTTACAACAGATGGGGGCCGAGGCGCTTCAGCTCAGACTAAAGTGTGATTTGGGTCCATGATGGTTGAATGTGTTGCCGAACCACATCTGGGGCCTCATGTATAAACGGTGCGTACGCACGAAAATGTTGCGTATGGCCGTTTCCACGCTCACGTCGAGATGTATAAAAACGAAACTTGGCGTACCGCTACACACATTCTCATGGCAGCTCCAGACATGGCGTACGCAAATTTCTGCTCGGTTTTTAAACGGACGGCACTCAGTGGCAAGTCATTGCTACTGTGGTTTCCTTTTTTAAGCTCACAATCATGACGCGGACTTTATCAAATACACCAACATTAATTGTATGTTGTTTACAAATGTACGGCACCTGATTTTTAATCAATTTGTAACAATAAAATGGTGCAGAAAATGACCGAACTATTACAACTACCATGGCAGCTCTTGCGTTATTGGAAGACATAGCTTATGGAAGAATTAGAAGAGAGTGCGTATTCAGGGATCATATACTGATTTCCTGGCCCATGATGATGACTGGCTTCTAAGTCGATTCAGATTTCCAAGAGCAATCCTTTTGGAGCTGTGTGCTAAACTGGGGCCAGCATTACAAAGGCAGACGATGAGGAATTGCGCTATAGGCTACCTGTTCCTTTACAAGTTCTGTCCACTCGCTTTTCAGCGAGAACTTGCGGACTGATCGGGTATTTCTCAGTCAACACTGAGTGTCACCGGTGTTGTATGGGACGGCATAATCTGCTTGTCACCCAGATACATGGGCGTAATTTCCAGGGGGGTCATGACCCCCCCCAATAATCAGATCCAGCCAATATAACCCCCCCCAATAATCATGTTTCCCCTGTAATGGGTGGAGACCTCCACCCCCCCAATGTTCCAGCCAAAGTTACGCCCTTGCCCAGATATATAAAATTTCCTTACACTGTGGTTGAACAGGCAAATATTAAAGTGCAATTTGCAGCAATGTCCGGTTTTCCCAACGTAGACGAAGCTATTGACTGCGCGCACATTGCTATAAAGTCACCTTCAGAGAACGAATTTGCTTATGTAAATAGAAAGCACTTTTCCTCTATTAATGTACTCTATTAATGCATTGGGGGCA